CTGTTACTGTGACAGAAATCTCTGTCGGTTCCCTTGTTGGAGCCACTACTGTTTACTGACTGATGGCCATCATTACTGTTCGGTCTTTAAGACCTACTGTTACTGTTATGCTAATGGATGTACCACACATGACTGTTCACTGTACTGAACAACTGAAATACTGATTGAATTGAACTGTTTTCATTACTGTAAGGACATTCGTTCTAAATCCCTTTACGCTTTATGTTATTCACTGGGCTTTAGCTCACTGCTCATATATATATGTAGGTGTTCAGGCACCAGACCGCAGCTAGGAGCGTCAGGGTTACTCCAGTTTTGTCAAGCCAGCCTTTGTGCCTCACTGCGAGGTTCCGAGCCTATTGCGTTGAGGCTTAGGGGTGTTTTACACTTACCCCTTCTGTACTGGTTTACTGTACTGTTTCACTGTTTTGTGTAGACTGACTGTTCACTGTACTGCTACCTAGGGTTGAGTCCCTAGTTTGAATGAATGTAAATATTGTACATACTGTTCTGTACTGTTTTTGTATGAATGCATGAAAAATCTTTTTGGCATGCAGACTGTCACAGCTCATTGGACATTGTTTAATTACTGTATTGGCTTCCGCCAGGCCCTGTACTCTGTTTTACTGTATTACTGTTCTGCAGGCCTTCGGTAATCTCAGATTACTGGCCGGTTACGGTGCTAAACCATAGGGCCGGGTTTGGGTCGTGACAATCACTATACTCACCATGATATAGGTATATTATTCCCCCTCAAAACTCAAATAGGTTTGAAAATATAAATCTATTTGAGGTTGAAACCGAGGGCAAGATAAGGTGGAGCGGAATTGAGAGACTATGTTCGCAAAAAAATATTGTAGAAAATAATTTTTATTTTAATGAAGAGTGGTTGAAGAATGGGGACAACCCATGTGAGCAGATTATATAAAATAAACAAATAAAATTCTGTTTTTTTTTTTTTTTTGGCATTTGTGGGTGATGGTGGGATGGAATGAGAAAAGATAAAATAAAATAATATAAAGTAGGTGAAGAGAGAGAAGGCTAGGAGTAACTTTAGAAAAAGAGAGTTGTGTTTGAAGATTTGGGTTTGAAAAATCATAGAGGTTAGGGAATTTGTTGAAGACAACAGAGAAGCGAAGAAGTCAGAAATGAACCAAGGCGTCTCCGACAAGGCGTGAGGCACTGACAAGTTGGCCAGTAATGGTGACCAAGGGTGAAGTTTGGTGGCTTTGAAAAGGTAGGAGTCGCAGAGAAACTTTGAGGAATTTTGGTTACTAATGGAGGAACATAGAGAAACCAGTGGATAGAGAAGGAGATCACCACAAAGCTTGTCACAACCCAAACCTGCCCCTATAGGTTTAGCATCATGACCGGCCAGTAATCCTAAGATTACTGAAGGTCTCTTAAACAGATACATAATATTAGGGACTAGCGAAAGTAAAATACGAACAGACATCGTCCATTGAGTGGTGCATTGAGCAGTGCAGACTTACATGAGACAGAAAATATTTAAACTTCTTTTTTTTATATATATATATTATTACATTATTCCCGCGTCATCATATATATACAGATGAAAAAAAAAAGGACTTAGCCCTATATATAGAATAAACAAAAACTTAAACTTTAATCACATAGCCTTGGCATCCGAAACCTCTACGGGAGGCGCATAGGTTGGTTGACAAAAACAGATTCTAGGCAAACGCCTCTAAGCCTGGTCACACGCTTGATCACCTACATATATATATATATATATATATACAGTGAGCTAGAGCCCAATGAATAACAAAAATGTAAAGGGTTATAAATGATGTCCTTACAGTATTTAAAACAGTCCATTATCATCAGCAAATAAGTTTCTCATTTTAGAATCATATTGTAATAATATTAGTCATACATGGTACATCCAATAGCAGAACAGTACAACAAGTCATAAAGACTGAACAATCAGAATTGATGGCCATGACATCAATATAGTAAATAGAAGTTCCAAGAATTGGAACTGACAGAGATCTCTGTAACTGTAACAGTAACAGTAAACAGTGGTAGTAACATATGCTATGGATGCCACGAATACAGTTCATAAAACATGACAACCATTCAATTAGTCAGAAAGTATCATTTCAGAAACAGAACATTTTATAATTCATAATTCAAACATATCTTTACAAGATTGTTACTTACGGATAGCTCTAGAGACAGATCAGACGGATCATAGCGCGTGACCTACACAAATACATGACAGATACATATTGAAACACAATATCACTTTCTTTATCAAACTTGACTTCTCTTGTCTTTTCTATTTAAGTAATCTGAAGTTCTACTATGCTTATTCTTACTTTTTCAAATAAATCGAGTTTCCATTTCACATATTCTTTAATCAACTAATTTATTTTGATTGTTAGCTTATTAATCTTTATTGAGTCATAATTCTTGCTTAGAAATGTATGGGAGGAGATGAGCTGAGATGAGATGAAAATATGAACACATGACTCAAAAACCTTTTTAATTTGTCCAAATTTAAATTTAATTCATTTCCTTCATATCAAATCCAATTTCAAACTTATAAGTTCTAATATATGAATTAAGTTTTCAAAATATAATTCCAAAACTTAGGTTTAAACATGACTTGTCTAAAAATATACAAACTCTTAAATAATTAAGAAAACTTGATCATTTTTAAACCATTTATATCAAAACTCCTTTAATATAAAAATTAAGCTAATTCTTCATAAACTCATAATTTTTCCAAAATTTAGTTCTTGTTTCGTCAAGATATGGAATCAATTCTTAGAAATCTTTAATGCATGAAATTAGAGTATCAAAATTTGTAGAATTTGTTCATGCATCTAGGAATTAGACTTAAACTCATGTAAGATATTCAAAATCAAATCCAAAATAATTAGTTTCCATAACTATGAACATGCATGTAACCCATTTCATGCTCAAAATTCAATTTCTTTCTAATTTTATGAATATAATCTCATACTCAAAAATAATATGCTTAAATTGAATAAAATTGAGTTTAGGATTAACATCAAACTATTTCTTAGTTTTGAAAACAAACTAAAAATCCCATTTATCTTCGAGATTACACTACAACAAAACTAACTATTCATGGCATCATGTTTATGACATGCATTAAATGCATGTTGTAGTTAGTACATTCTACGGCATTTTTTTTTTACAAGCCGTAAATGTTTTGTCAATAACAGCATACATACTATGTAAGTCGTTGATTCATATATTTATAGTATGCAAAGTATGCCGTAAAAAATGTATGTTTTTATGACTTACAAAAATTTATCGTAAAATATTTGAACTTAAGACGACATACATTTCATGTTATAAAATATTATAACTTTACACGGCATGCATTAACATGTCGTGAAAACTTCTGCAAAAAAAAAAAAAATTCAATCCGAAATTTTTTTATGGCATGCAAAAGCATGCTGTAAAAAACGTATATTTTCATGGCATACAAAAATATGTCATAAAATATTTAAATTTAAGACAACATACAGTTCATGTCAAAAAATATTATGACTTTACACGTTATACATTAGCATGCCGTGAAAACTTTTATTAAAAAAAATTTCAATCTGATTTTTTTTTTTTTGTTGATGATTTAAAAAAACTAATAATTTTCAACCAAGCTTCTCACTTTAAATTTTCCTAATTGAGGGCAATGTAAAAAATAATTTATACATTATTTTATAATTTAGTGTCTTTTTTTAAGGGATAATTGCACCCGTGCGATTTTGAAAAAAATTACATATCACTGCAGCATTTTTTAAGCTTTTTATAATATTTAACGACGTTTTATAAGTGTCGCATTTTGTATTAATTAAAACGGTACCGTTTAGCTAATATAAATGCCTCAATAAAATGTGTCACAATCTCTGCTGGGCTCCCTCAAATCTCTCGCTCACTCTCTTCACTTCAGCTCGGTGATTTTGATTTCGTAGAGCAACTTCCTTTTCATACTCGGTGATTTCAATTTCGAAGTTCTCTCTCTCGATTTCGAAGCTCCACCGCCACCGCCATTTGTATCGTCTACTAAGGTGAGCCATCGTCATCGATTTTGATTCAATCTCAATTTCGTATTTTTCTCTCTCTCTCTCTCTCTCTCTCTCGCTCGCTCTTCATTCCGTCGATTCTTCTCCTTCTAGGGTTTACAATCTTGAATCTCCTCCTAGGGTTTGCCCCTTGCTATTTCAAGCGGTAAATTCTCTCTCTGATCTAGAAGTTCATATTTAATTATAAATTTGTTGTGAGAGATTTGAATTTGAATCCATGTGTTAATTTGATTTGAATTTGAATATGAATATGAATTTATAGTTGTCAAATCGTGAAATTCAATATGTGATGCTATGATCTTCACAAGAGAGAGAATGTGACAGTTTTAGAGAGAGAGAGAGAGAGAGAGAGAGAGAGAGAGAGAGGGGTTTGAGTGGGTGGGTTGCTTGCTTGGTGGTTTGTGTGATCATCATCAGCTTAAAGGAGAGATTGCATTCAAAAAGCAATCAATGTCAATTCTTTAATCCCTCTTTAGCCTCTCTCTCAAGCAATCAATATTCTTATCTCACATTTATCTTTCTTTCTTTCTTTATTCATTCTGGATCCAAATTCCAATTCATTCTGGATCCAAATTCCAATTCATTCATTTCAATTTCCTTTAATTTTCTTTTGCGTCTCGAGGAAATCCGCTAATTAATGTCTCGAAAAATTTTATTTATTTAATTATTATTATTATTTTTTTCTTTCTGTTCTTTAGAATTGTTGAAGTTTGAGGAGTGAGTTAATCAATGGAAGTAATGTGATTGAAGGTAGTATTCATTTTGATGTGTAATGTGGATTCTTTTTCCTTGTTTGGTTGCTCAGAAAATGTGGATTCTTTTCATGTAGAATTTTCTTATACCAATAATGATTTAATTTCTTTTATTATTATTATTATTATTTGTTTTCTCCCAGAATTATAGCTCAACAAACTTGGGATTTTCTGATATGCACAGCCAAGCAACAGCTTATGCGAAATTGGCTGAATCAATAGCTATAAACTCTGGGTCAGTGGAAAGTAATGAAGTTATTAATGAGCTAACTGATGAATCTGGTATTATGGTTCTTCCTGTATCTGCCGAAAGCACCGGATTACTGCCAGATCGCAAGGGTAGTAACCTTCTATTAGATTTAGCATCACATGTTTTTGTCTTACCATGTTGCCTCTTGGTTAGTTTAGTTTAACTGTTAGTCATAGTTTAGTTATTTTCTATCTTGGTTAACCAGGGATTCTTAAAATAGGATATTTCATAAATTTTTATGTGTTAGATATCTGAATTTATGAAATTGTCTGTCTCGTAATTGAAGCAATTCATGCTTGCAATTGTTTCTGTAAGTGATGTATCGGAAAATCTAGAAAGAGATCAAGTAGGGCTCATATTTTGTCATTTTTTAAGGTGTTGGACCATTTTGAAGTCTCCTTTTTTTCTTTTTCTTTTTTTCCCGTTTAAGTGAGCTAAAATATTCTTTGACGAGTAGCAGCACTTTAATGTCTCCTTTAAGCGGGAAATGTGACATCACATGAAAGTTTGGTACTTAGAAGATTTTTGATGGATGGAAAATTTATAGTGTTTAGAAAGTTACTAGACCTTTAGATGAGTGAAGCAACGCTGCATGATACTCTAATTCTCAAGGGATGCTGCAATTTGGGACAAATTGGGAAGCCTTTGTAGAAGTGAGTTGATTACACCTCTTAAAATTTTGACTTGAGAAAAATATAAAGTAGCATTCAGCCCAATTTCAACTTGAAGCTATTTTACAAGTTCAACAATTTTTACATTGAAGGAAAAGTAGTCCTGCTCCTTGTAAAGCCACCCAATCACTATCCATATTGAGTTAGACATTTGAACCAACTATGTGGTGGCACCAAACACGTGTTCTAAATTTCCACAGAATATATAGTTTTGTGGGAGTTTACTTAATTCATTACTCTGTAACTTGTAACTCGGGCTATTTCTTTCTTGTTCATCAAATATCGCTGTTTTACAAAACCAATAAACACTTGTATCATTTGACCATAATTAGTTTTTAGTTTGAGAGACAATTTATTTGATATTATTGTCCAGCGCATAAGAATAAAAAGGATCGATCAACTATCACTCATCAGTAAATATTGATATAATAGTCCATTAACGAAAACCACCTGAGAAGAAGTTTGCAATTTCTTACGAATAATTGACAAGATTTGGATCCTCACCACCTAATTGAAAGCTTGTTTATGTTACAGTGATAATACCTCTGGAAATGTTTCCATATTCCTTTAGTAGGGTATGCACAAGGAATGTTGAATTTCTGAAGATAAAAATACCCTGAAGTCTCCCAAATTATTCATGGGAAATAGGAGATGTTCTTGCTGAAATGAATTTGAGCCTCAAGACCCCTAATCCCCAACAAAAAAATCAAAAAGAAGGTTGATACAACAGCAAAGCATGCATACAATTGTGTGGAGCCTGCAAGCAGGAAGAAATTGAACATCACAAACACAACTAAATTTATGCGTGTAGTAGTGGCCTTCGTCTCTTGCGGATATATGAAGAGGTCACCGTCTCTAGGCATGATGCTATATATTAAACCACAAATAGAATCCACTGAAACTCAACGTGGCCAAATGGCGACAAGATCCCCAATTTACCATCTGCATTGCATTCTCTATTGTACTGTTCTAATCTTACAGTGCCAGACATCTCTGAAGTTAACTCGATTAAGTAACTCCATAGCCTGTCCTGTAAAGGTTGGGGAAGTTCAGTTTCCTAGATTATGACACCGTTCTTGGACTTATACGTCTTTGGTTATTTGGAAACTGGACATGGGAAATGCTTCAAGACAAGCCCTCCAGTCTTTCAATTAGAATGAAGGTTATTATCCAGTGTTGGTCCTGCCAGTGCATGGTGCTGTTGGTACTGCCAGTGCCAGCTAATAGTACTTCATACTAGGATTTACCAATGAAAAGGGGTTTTCTTCCATCTTTGGCGATTAAGGTTGCACCTAGAGCAGTAATAGGTACCTAAAAGAACAATAGAACCAATTCATTGTAAGAAGAGATATCTAGATCTCCAGAAAACTAAGGGCGTGAACGTTGATAACCTGAATACATGCGTAGATTATAGTTCCAGTGCTGGAAGGAAATCTTGTGAGATTAGATATGCAATTATTGAGGTTATTGATTATAAAATTAAACTAATGTTAACTTAATATTCAGAGTTGAGCAGTAGAATTTGCCTTGTGTTGACTTATTCTGAATGAACAGAAACTAGATATGTCCATTTATCATCCTCATCTATGAATATTGTTTCATTAGCCTTTGTGATTTATGGTTTTTCTGATAGGATTTGTGAATAATGGAAATATGTCCAGGATAACCTCTTTCACAGGAAGGAAAATTAATGTTTAACAAACCTCTGCTAGTGATAGATCGAGATTGTCCGTGATGGCCAATTGAGTAGGTAATGAATAACCTGCCTGAAAACCAACAAATTATGACACCTCAGAATTGCCACCAAAAAATTCTACTTTTCTAAGAAACTTGTTTTGAATTTTTGCTTTGGTTTGTAATGTCTTCAACTGTTTCTTTTAGCTTTAGTGAAACATGAAATGAAGTTTGATTAAATGATTGGCACTTACACAGGTTCCAAATGCATAAGAACCACACACTGCAAAGGTACTAAGGTAAACCATCCATTCATGCTCCGTAGAACTGCTTTTGTGGCTCAAATCTTTGGGACCATAGCCATCTTCTTCATCAGCTCGAGTCTTGTCTTCTGGTATAAGTGGCTCCCTTATCTCTTTTTTGAAGTGATTCACTTATTCTTTTGAACAAGTTTCTCTTACTAATGAATTCATCACTAATGGTGCTCCTTTTGCCAGGTTACATATCCGACATCTCATCAACATGCCACTTGGTCCTTGGATGACTTGCCAAGAATAGTAGCTTGTACCATGCATCAAGGATCTGCTGTCACCAGCATGGATTTTCATCATTCTCATCACACATTGCTTCTTGCTATGATGGTCTTTGATCAATGATTTGAACATACCACCTATGATTTCAATGGTTGAGCGCCTGCTAAATAAATATACGAATTCTTCCTTTTCTTTCCTTTATTTGACGTAGATTCTCTTTTATACAGTTGGTTCTGCTACTGGTGAAATAATGCTTTGGGAAGTGGGGATGCGATATAAATTGGTTTCAAAGCCATTCAAGATATGGGACATGGCAAATTGTTATATGCTGCTTCAAGTTCCTTTTCTTCCTTTTCTTTCCTTGTTGCTTGTTATCTTAGCATTCTATGATGTCATATATATACCTATGATATGAGATATCTATGTAGGTTGTAAGCAGCATGTATAAATTAATTGTGACCAGATTATTTCTTGCTTGATTTGGGGACATTTATAATACTAATCTTTAACTAGCTGTTGTCAAATATTATTATTATTATTATTATTATTTTTTTAAATTCCCATTTGGAATGTTGAGATCAAAGTGATAATTTGGAAAAGAAGTCTCCAATTGATGTTAACATGCAGGAACCCTGATCTTTGTGTGTTGGACATTTATAATACTAATCTTCTATAAGTTGTTGTTGCCCTGGCTTTGTAGGAAGCTGAGTGCTTTTTTGTTGTTCTGAAATGTGTGCTTGCACCTGCTGCTACTGCAACATCTGCTCTTCGAATCCCTACCATTGGTATTGGGGCAGAGACTCTTTGTAGTGGCCAAGTTAATTGATTCTTTAGCTCTCTCTAATACTCCTAATAATGAATTAGACTTGACTGCTTGTATCGTATATAATCTTTTTGCTTTCATTTGTATATATAATTTGCTATTTGATCTTGTGATTTGCTTTTCAAGTACTAAAATGGGCATTTTAATGATATCGTGTGTTCATATATTGAATTTACTCATATAATAAACTTTGAATTTGCTCTCTCTCTCTCTCTCTCTATATATATATATATTAAAATAACCTTCTACGGCATATAAAATTATGTCATGAAAAGTATAATGATTTATGACCTGCAAGAAAATGCCGTAAAAGATTATATACGGCATACAAAGTATGTCATAAATAGATTAAAAATGGCCTTCTACGGCATACAAAATTATGTCGTGAAAAGTGTGATGATTTATGACATGCAAGAAAATGTCGTAAAATATTATATACGGCATAAAAAGTATGTTATAAATATATTAAAATAACTTTCTACGGCATGCAAAATTATGTTATGGAAAGTATGATGATCTATGGCATGGCAAAAATGTCGTAAAAAGTTATATACGACATACAAAGTATGTCATTGATGTTTAATTTATTACTTTTTACAACTTCACCTGCATGCCCGTAAAAGATGCTCAACTTTCCACGGCATGTCATATAACGGCATTTGTGTGTATGCCGTGAAAGAATTTTTACGGCATACATTGCAAGTCATAAAAATTCAATTTTGTTGTAGTGTTAGTTCTAGATTTCCATATCTTTCTTAAATTAAACCCCAATTTCAGATTTATATGTTTAATTCATGCATAGAGGATTATAATCTTTAGGAAAACATTTGTCTATAAAGAATTTGGAGATTAATTGAATTAAAACATACTTTTCATGAAGTTTTTTAAAACCTATCTCAACTCAAAGTTTCTTCAAATTTTTATTTTTAATTCTTTCAAAATCCATCTTGAATTTATGTCTAGATTATTTAAACAATACCAAAAAGAGGATGCAATTTCTTACCTATAATCTTTAATTTGGTGAATTCCTTCACAAATTCTTGAGCCCCTCTCTCTCTCTCTCCCTCCTACAAAAATGATTTGAGCCCAATAACCTTCAATTTGGTAAATCCCTTCACAAATTCCTGAGCCTCCTCTCTCCCCCTCTTTTTCCCTTTCGGTTCTCTCTTCTCTCTTTCGGTGCTCTCTCTCTTTCCAACAAAAATGATTTCAGCCCAACAACACAGCCTCTCAAACTTTCCAGATTACTAACAATTTCTCTCCTTTCTTGATTTCATTCAACTCTACTATTATTATTATTATTATTATTAGATAGTGGGACACTTGTCTCTACCAGATTAATTCATGTGGTGATATACATATGAGTCATCAAACACCAATTTAATCCCCCCCCCCCCCTCAACTAATTAATCATGGTTAAGTTTCATTAATTAGGGTTAATCTTTGATCATAATTGGCTTAACTAGGCTCACTTTAATTTAATTAATCTCAATTAAGACTTAATTTAATCATTCCTAATTTTATTCTAATTTCATTTAGTCCTATTTAATCTTGATTAACACAACTTAATTAATTATAACAAATCACAAATCCTACATAATTTAATTAGTCTACTTAACTTTCATTAGAGCCGAAGTAATTATATTTAAATTTATCAATCTGAATCAGAATTTTAATCAAACTCTTAAAAAGTTTCAAATATTAAATTAAACTTATTTCCATCCTCAAATTTGATTTCCCAAATCATTTAAGCCTTCAATTTCAGACTCAAAATTTTCGTCAATAAATTCATTTTCAAATTGGGCACCTCACAAGTAAATTTAATTCAGAATAACCACAATTCTCAATCCTCATAATTTAATTAACTCCAACCCGGACCCAATTAATCAAATCTTAATTTTATTCAACTGAATTGCATATTTAATTAAACTTCCATATGGTCCAATATTCGAAATTAAACTGATTTAACTCATTAATTTCATCTTCTGAAGCTATTTAGCTTTCAATTTCTAATTCCATAATAACTCTTTTATAAAATCATAAACGAATCAGACCCAATAATGTTCATCAATTTCACAATTAAATCAGAATAATAACTAATTAAAATTCAAATCACATTGATTAACTAAATGTAAAATATTATACATGGTAGGGTCGTCACAAAGTTATATTGAAAGAGAAATATGACAGCAAAATGGGTTCAGATTCGACAGGCGACCAAGGCAAGATTGTCGCCTGCCGGTGAAACAAAATTACAAGGTACTTAGCCTAACTCTGATATCATGTTACAATTTCTAATAGAGACAGAAAGAGAATATTATATTATGTGTATATTTAATATTATATATCTTACAATATAATGAAAAGGCTTATATATAGATAATGTAAGATTAGGCAACAAGAAAATTATGAAAATATCTTAATATGGTAACATCTAATTACAACACCTAATATATATGGTGAATATAATATATATATATATATATATATATAATATTTACTAATATATTTGTTGGGATTGTGATTTTTCTCTTTTGAGTTTGACGTCAAATCTTTTTTATTAGCGATAGCTAAAATTGCTTCGCATTTCGGTGCTGATCCGCTCGGTTAATTTGCAGACAATAGGGTCTAAATTATACTTGTTTTACAATTGGAGGAGTTAAGGTCGAGAGTATAATCAAAAACCTTATATATTGAGTTGGCCTTTTAGAGATCACCTTTAAGGCACAATTGCGTTCCGACTCACCATTATTACTTCTTCCCTCTTTGCGGTTTGTCAGGTGACTTGTCCATAAAATATAATCGTTATTTATTTTCTTATTGTAATAAGCTCTGGACTCAAGACTCTGTATCTTTCGGGTTCTCGTTTTATATAAACGAAGTCGAGCTCGAAACTTTCGAATTTATTAAGCTCGTTTAGGTAGACCGAGCGAGCTTTTAGCTACGCATAAGCATCGGCTACGGGTTATCTTTTATTTATAATTTATATGATATAAATCACGGATTAGTGTTGAGAACATGGAGGTATACTAAAAAATATTAAATATATATATACATAATAATATAAATACATTTTTATATATTAAATAATATAAATAATATTTTTTATTTAAATATTTATATTTAAATAATATAAATAATATTAAAAAAAATTTATCGAGTCAAGCCGAGCTTGAGCCCAGTTCCTTATCGAGCCGAGCTTGAACCCAATAAACGAGCTCGATAAGTAAACACGAGTCAAGCTCGAGCTAAGCAAAGCTCGGCTTGCTCGGCTCGGTTCGTTGCACCTACCCCCTCTCTCTCTCTCTCTCACGCGCGCGCGCGCACGCGAAGTGTGTTTCCCTTTTTTCATATGACACATTCTAAAAGTTTATTTTATTTTAGTTTTTTCCTAAAAGTACCATAACAATATATATTTTCTATTTATATATAAAATTTTATACAAATTCAATTTCAATTATAATAATCAATTATATATAAACTTTATTTGAGAAATACTTATTTTTCATATATTTTTCATCGTATATTTGGTTTCGTCGTTGTTAGATTTCTTTATATAATTGATATTTTAATTTAATTGTTGTTAGATTTCTTTTATATAATTGATATTTTAATTTAACTATTATGATATTTGAAAAAAAAATTATCTCGATATAAAAATAAATAAATAAATAAGACAGAATGTGCTTAATTATGTGCATCGTATGGATCAAATTAATTTTTTTTATATTTCTTTTTATTTTTTTCTATCTTATTGATGTCTTAATAGTAATTTCTATTTAATTTTTTTTATTTAACATGAGATTATTTATTACAAAATATTTATATTTAATTTAAATTTTGTATACCTATATACAATATTTATGAATAATTCAAAAAGAATATTAAAGAAAAAAATTAGGGGAATTTTTTTTAAGATCCCTAATAATAGTAATTTAGAGGATAAAGGACACCAAAAAAGAGAGTGATGCATCAGGTCCCTGAACAACATGACGCGTATTTTTAATTATTTCGTGGACCAAAATACCCTTCACACAATCAACACACAGACGAAACTGATTCCGACGACTGAGTTCCATTCCAAGCATCCAACCATCTTTACGAACAAGAGAACAACAGAACTAGGATTCCATATCATCTTCACCATCGACATTAGAGCTTCGTTATCTTCTGCAAAAATCATTCTCATTCATTCCTCACAAATTTCTCTGACCCCGTTTTCACTGTTCATCGTCATCTTAGTTCATCTTCGTCACGTCGCATCTTCATCTCAGGACATAGCAGCTCGTCATTAAAGTTTCATCCTAACTCTGGTAAGTTTTTCTACAATACAACTAGATTTTCTCTACAAACACAGTTAATTGCATTTTATATTAACCTTCCATAAATTAGGGGTTTCAATTTCGTAATAAAAAGCTACATGAATTTGAAAAAAGTTATTTCTATGTGTTTTGAACTTATTCTTGAACATGTTTGTGTCGTTTTATCTGTAAATTTCTCTGGTTTTTGCTTGATGTATGTTTCTTCTTTCAATTTTCTCTGGCATGTTTATTTTGAAAAAAGCTATTTCTCTGTGTTTTCATCTTATTCTTGAACATGTTTCTGTGATTTTGTTTATAAATTTCTCTGCTCTGTAAATTTCTTTGTAATATGTATTTTTAATTGGAATGTCTATTTTTCTCTGGAATG